TGGCAGTCTTAGGCATTGATGATTATAAAATCAAAATTTTGAACAACTCTGAAAACCGTTGAACATTCTCTACATCCTGCAGTATCAAATATTCCACCAAGATTTAATTCTTTGTGTAAACATAAAAAGCACATCCGTCTCATTAGTATGCAAATTTGTTTTTGTCATTAATAAATGGTAAAATTATATGTATACTAAAGAATTGTTTTAAAATAAATTCCTTTATGATATATTATCAGTAAATGTTTGATTTGTATACCTTTTTTATATACCTATATACCCAGGGTCTCATAAAAATTTCTTGGGTGAAAAGCAGAGGAGAGTGGAGAGAGTTTAAGAAGCCTTGCTCTAAGTAACAGAGCACCTCTAGAGTTGCTCAAAAGCAGGCGGCATGGTCAGACCTGTGCTTCTGGAGGCTGTGTGGAGAATGGATGACAGATGAATAGGGACAGGGGGAGGGCACAGAAACCAATCAGGAGCTTCCTGCAGTAGTCAGGCAAGAAGAATTGTGAGGGGCTGAACTAGGATGGATGTGGTGAGTGGGGAGAAGGGAACAGAGGCAAGATATGCTAGAGAGGTGGAACAGAGGAGTCTTGATATGTGAAGGTGACAATGAGAAGTGAAGCATGATTGAGGTTGTGAACTTTGGTGAGTAGAACAATTGTCATCCCCTTGACAGAAATAGGGAAGTTTGCCGTTTTAGGTATGTGGAGTTTGAGAAATCTGGAGGACGTGTAGTCTAAAATGTCCAGTAAGTGATGTGGGCCTGGAGCTCGGGAGAGAAACTAGGCCAGCATATCCAGATCCCAGAATCAGTGGCATAGATGATGGGGCCTGGGCCCCAGCTCTAAGATCATGTCTCTGGAAGCCTCCCAATTTCTTAGTAGGCCCCTGTCCTATGAGAAAATTTTCTTTCATTGCAGAACACATTCTCTTATCAGAACAGAGGGGTGCCTGGCCCAAGGATTTTTGTCCTGGCAGGCCCAAGGACTCTCCCTGGAGCCAAATCCCCAAGGTCTATGCCTCTGACAACTCCCTCAATGTCTAATATCAACAAAGTGATCTCCATAGACTCCCTACACTTTCCCATCCATAGCTCCCAAAGACACCTGGACCCTTAGATTACCTAATTAGCATCCCTGGCATTCCTTTCCCATGCCTCTTTTCTATATAAGCTCTAGATTCACCCCCATTAGGTTGCAAGTTCTCAAAAGGAACTCTGCCCACTACTGTTGGCATTAGAATAAACTGCCTCTTTACTGAAAGATGGCTTGAGTGTGTGAATTCGTTCCCAGACTCTGCCTTGGCATTCTCAGGGCCCCAGCACCCTCAGACCTCTTCACTGAGTTGATAAGTGAACCAGCAGAAGCTGATGAGATGACCAAGGGAGAGATGGTAGAGAGAGAAGAGAATAGAATTCAGGACAGTTCCTTGAATTACATCCATGGTGAGTGAAGGTGACAGTACCTGAATGACCATCCTGCAAAGCATTATGAGAAGGACCAGTCAGAGTGGTGGGAGGAGAACCCAGAAAGAGCAGGGGCAAGAAAACACAGAGAAAAAAGAGTGTCCTGAAAGAGAAAGCATTCCACAGCCTCAGAGGCTGCAGAGAGAGGTAAGGGAGACTTGGCAATTTGGAACTAGAGAGAGCGGTTTCATTTGGGTGATGAGGTTGGAAGCCAGATTGCAAAGGGCTGAAAAATGGGTGAGAGAAGAGGAAGTAGATGAAATAAGTGTAGGTGGCTTTTTCAAAATGAACGTCATTTTAATTTCCATCAATGCATACAAATGTGAAAAGGTATATCAAGAAGAAAGACAAAAAACTAAAAGAGTCATTGTAAAGCTAACCTCAAACTTTTGTTACCTGTAAATCATTAATCATGACAAATACCAGATGTGTTTAACTTTAACAAAAGTCTTTCCCCCTTCTGTTGCCCCTTTTAAACTTCCTTCCTGCTTCTTTGACTGGGTTTCATTGTTGTTATTATTAGTGTCTTCTAATTACATTGTTTCGGGTCGGTGAATTTCCTATTGTTTTGGTTCAACTTTCCTTACCTAGCAAGGTAGATAGACTCAGAGGATTCAGACCAGGAAGGGATTTGAGAGTTCTTTTGACAAATAAGGAAATGGAGGTCTAAAAAGAGAAAGCTAATTAGTGAGTGGCAGAGTCAGGATTAGAACGCTAACTGCTGATTCCTAAGCCAGTGCCCCTTTTAAGACTTCAACAGAATGTCACTTCATTGAAATCCTCCCACAATTCTTTAATTTCATCATACTCATCGGTTTTTTTCTTTTTTCTTTTCTTTTTTTTTGCTAGGCAGTGGGGTTAAGTGACTTGCCCAAGGTCACACAGCTAGTGTCAAATGTCTGAGGCTGGATTTGAACTCAGGTCCTCCTGGCTCCGGGGCCAACGCTCTATCCACTGCACCACCTAGCTGCCCCTCATCTATTCTTATGGTACAGTAATATTCCACTTAGTTCATATATTATAATAATAGCTGACATTTAGATAATGTTTTATGGCTTGCAGAGATTTAACAGGGAAGCCAGGTAGGGCAGTGGATAGAGTACTGGGAGTGGAATCAAGAAGACTCCTCTTCAGGAGTTCAAATCTGGCCTCAGATACTTAACAGCTAGGAGACCCTAGGTAAGTCACTTCACCCTGTTGGCCTCAGTTTCCTCATCTGGAAAATGTACTGGAAAAGGAAATGGCAAACCACTCCAGTTTCTTTGCTAAGAAAACCCCAAATAGGGTCACAAAGGTTGGACATGACGAAAAAGACAAGTACATTTGATCCTTGTGACAAAAATCCTATGAAATATTTGGTACAAATAGTATCCCCATTTTGGGGCATGGAAACTGTCACATAGGTCACACAGTATTCCTTACAGTCACACAGGTATTAAATGCTGGCGACAAGCTTCACAGCCAGGTCTCTCTTGATTCCAAGTCCAGAGTTCTTGCCCTGCGCCTCACTGTCTCTCCTCCGTAATATGTTCATCAGATCCCCAAGAAATGGACATATAGTTTATTTGCTTCCAGTTTTTTGCTGTTACAAGCTGTACGGCTAAGCCTTTGCAGTAGCAAAGAATTGGAAACAAAGCAGATGCCCATAGATTGGGGCATCTTGTGGAGTACCAATGTCAGGGAATGTTACTGCACTGTAAGAAAAAATGAGTATGAGGAATACAAAGAAACGTGAAAAGACACATATGAACTGATGCAAAGTGAATTAAGCAGAATTGGAGAAAATGTATTATATACAATGACTAATGCAATGGAAATGTAAGGAACAACAACAATTGAAACTTGAATGCCGAGAAATTATAATGATCAAGCTTGGCCCCAAAGAAGAGGCAAGAGAAGACCCCTCTTCCTCCATGTACTTCTTTGTAGAGGGGCTTAGGGCCCAGGTTTAGGACACTCCGCAGAATATCAGATTTTTTTCTGTGTTGGTTAGTTTTGCAGAACTTGTTTCCTCTTTTTTTCCTTCTTTATTATAAACGATGACTCTCTGCAAAGTATTTTGAGTAGAATATAATAGGAAATGTAGGTAAAAAATGTAGGTACAAAAACAAAAGACATCAATAAAATATATTTTAAAAAACCAAAGAGTTCTGCTAGGAATATATACATCTATTTTTTTAAAGATAGGCTTTCCCACCCTTTCCATAAACTCGTCAATGGGTATAATCTTGTCAATGGGATCAAGGAGTCAAAAGCTGTGAACACCTCTGTGGATGAGTTGGGTTTATATATGAGCAATTATATCATCCAAATTTATAATTAATGATGGTTTTTCCTACACTGATTTTATTTCCAGGCCATAGCTGTCAGTCATGTCTATGTTGTTATTGGCTTTCCCATCGTTAGAATTGAGTCATAATTCGTCCCTCAATCCTTTCTGTGTCTCAGAGCCATTACTAGTATGGGGTATGAGAGGCTTTGTTCCAGGGTACCAAAAGGTAAAGAGGGCTGATAGTGTTTACCTTCCTTTAGTGACATGGAAACAACTGGCTATAGCATCTCATTAGCATGAATAATTAATTAAAATAGCACTTGATAGCTGTGGGAGTAAATTATCTGTCTGTAGATGACTCCCTCATCTCATCCCCCGCACAGAGGCCATCGGGTCAGCGGTCCGCCTTAGACAGTGGCTTCCCTAGCAGCGGCCTCTAGAGACGCAGGCACTCTCTCTTCCTGAGCCTAGGGCAATATGTCAGGGTCTTTTCTTTCAGCTCCCCCCACCACTGCCCGCTGAAGGGCAAGAGGACTCTTCGTTGTTTGCTAGGGTCCTTTTTGTAGTAATTCCCAGGAAGTAAAAAAGGAAATGTCCTGCCTTGGATTCATGGCGTTTCCAGCACTTTCTCAGCTTTGGAAGTCCTTTTCTCACCGTACTTTGTCTCTGCTTTGTGTAGAATGCTCAGTTTGTCCCAAGGCATCAACAACCTCGGCTGCAGTGTAAGGAACTGTGAGCCATTTACTTCAGACAGGTGAAGTGAAATATAGTCTCATGCTCTCCTCCTTGGTTCTCTTCTTCAGACTCTCCCTAGGTCATCCCCTCCAGGGTTTGCTACACTTTTTTTTTTTGCTGAGACAATTGGGGTTAAGTGACTCGCCCAGAGTCACACAGCTAGTAAGTGTCAAGTGTCTGAGGTCAGATTTGAATTCAAGGCTGGAGCTGTATCCATTGTGCTACCTAACTGCCCCTATACTTTCTTATTGGTTCATTCTGAAACTTTCCTAAATCTGTGACCTCTTCAAAGTATGAACTCCAGAGCAATAACTAGGAATTCTGGTGCCTGAGGCAAATTCAGTTGAGGGGGAGGGTAAAGTGTCTGGGGAGGGGTAGCTGTTTAAGAATGGTGGTATAGAGGATAGTCTGAACACAAATTTAGATACGCTGGGAGAGACAGCAGCTTGTTGCAGAGGGGAAGAGAGGCCCCTAGGAGGAGGATGGCACAGTGGCAGAACGAAGAAAGTGGCCATGCAACTGGCAAAAGATTGCAAAATAGAACTCATGGATGATGGTTACCACAGAAAGGAAATGAGCTGCAGTCCAGGAAGTTAACATGAATCTCCTGAGATTGTTAGCTCCCTCGAGTAAAGCCTTGGTCACTACCTAGCAATTACAGTTCTGAAGCATGTGTGGCACACATGAAGATCACAATCCTTCCAGGCTTTCATATCCTGTGTGGTTCTTGTCCATATCCTTTGACAAATTTTTCACAGACTCTTCATCTGATGTGCTTCCTTAAACACCTAACGGACACCAGTGCAACGTTTTGGGTAATAATGAATGTTATTGTTCTGTCTCTCTATGTGACCAACCTCCCCTCTTTTTTCAGTCATGTATGTCTTTGGTAATAATGCCTTTTAGGACATTTCATATGCTGAAATCAACACGGATAATACGCTGTAGCCTGCTTTCATCCACCATGCACCTTCTCATCACCCTTTGATTTACCTTACCTAACATTTTTGATCCTCCAGAAATTGTAGTGTACTGTGATTTATATCACTTGGAGGATGTTGGCATTAAGAAATGGGCTTTCTAGGCAAGGGAGGAGCACAGTTTTCATGTAACTGGCTGAAGGCCCTGTTTCAGCAGACTTCATTAAGTAGGGATGGTGGGGTTGGGGGGAAGGTGGCCTGGTGTTAGGCAGTGCCCTGGGTTGACTGCCAGTCTGTAGAGCTGAAAGGACCTCAGAGATCATCTACCAGGGGTGAGGAACCCACAGCCTAGAGGCCACATGTGGCCTTCTAGGTCTCTGGGTATGGCCTTTTGACAGAGTCCAAGTTTTATAGAACAAATCCTTATATTAAGGGGATTTGTTCTGTGAGGCTTGGGTACAGGCAAAGGGCTACAAAGTGTTCCACACCCCTGATTCTAGTCTCTAGTTCAAACTCTGATTTTATAGCTTACAAAATTGAGAGGCCCCAAAAGGTGAACTGACTTGTCCAAGGTCATAAGACCAGACCTTAGTCAGAACAACTCTATGTCCAGTGCACTTTCTAGTAGGTAATGGTTGTGGGGCCTAGCCTACCAAAATCAGACTCTTAAAGCCCAGTTTGAACTTCAGGCCAGGTACTCTGTCCACTGCATCACCTACCTACCTGAAGTGTCTGATAGAGGGACTCAAGTCTCTTACCAGTAAGAGACCAAAGAAAAGATTAAACCTAAGAACATTAACTATTTTAAAGAGCCTGGCTCTTTGTTCTAAAAAGCATGGCATTTGGGGTGTGCGACCTTTTGCAGGGAAGATAAAAGGTTTCACTGGGCAGGTATCTGAGTGACCAAGACAGAGGAGGCTTTTTGCTAGTTCCAAGGATTCCTTTATTTTTCTAAAAGAGTAAGGGAAAGTCTATAGGCTTTAAGCTAAGAGAGAATAGCAGCACCCACTCTCCCCTGAGAAAGATAGCCAAGGTCAGATGCTAGAAGTGACAGAGTCTGAGGAGTATCTAACAGAGCCTATAGTGGAGCAGTGACCAGCAGAGACTATTTTCTCAGATACTACATGTCCGGCTGGGTTCAGAAGAGATTATGAAGTCAGTCCAAAAGATACTTCAAGCAAGCCTGGTGGGAGCAGCATGATGACATCGCCAGAAGTCATTAAGCAGTCCAGCAGCCTCAGAGGCATGAGTGATCTCTCTCTGTGTACGCATATATCCCCTACATGAAGACTTGTATGTGAAGACCCCTCTGCATGTCAATTCTTTCCACTAAGGTCCTTCATGGGAGATTATCCTTTGGTTAGTGGAGAAAATGATTTGTTTTGTTGCTCCTTTTCTTAAAATATCACTTAATTAAATGTCTTTGCTTTGAAGTGATTATGTCCTATGACTATCAAAGGTAAGCACATTGTTGGGGGCTTATGTATAAAGGTTTTAGGCATGCAGATCCACAGAATTTGTGGTCATCATATCCTGAACATACCTGATTTTGTTTGTTTTGAGAAGCTAATCAGGGTCCAGCCTTGTTAGATCTGGATTCAAGACTGCCTGGTAATACTAGGTGTTATAGGCTTCAGTAAGAGGCAGCATGGTATTTTGGATAGGATTTAGCCTGGACACAGAGCAGAATATAGGGTAAGGAATCAAGTTAGCAAAATACTCAGGAGGGGTCACTGAAAAGGTCAGTAATGGCATTTTCTAGGTAGGAGTTGGGTTGAAGCCAAGGATATCTTGAAAATTTGATCAACTGACTTGATAAACCTAAACGTGGAATTTTTCTGGCCAATGATTCTCAAGGAAAGACTGCCCATGATAGGTCTACTTTGAAGAAGGTTGATTGAATTTATGTAAGAAGAGGGACCTAATCCTGGGGTTTATCCCATTTCCTGATCTGGAACTACGTAAAGGGTAGTCCAGCTCTATATTCAGTTAGAACTAGAGTCTCAAAGGAAAAAAAATCCAAGAGCACAGAATTAGAGTTGGAAGTGACATTAGATATTATGTAGTTCAACTCTCTCATTTATTGACAAGGTAATTGAGGCCCTGAGAAGTTAAGTGACTACCCAAGGTCACTTGGATAATAAATAGACGATAATAGAATCTGAGCTGGAAGGGACCTTGAAGACCATCAGGTCCAACCCCCTCATTTTATAGATGAGAAGACTCTGGCTTGCCCAGTGTCACACAGCCAGCAAATATCTGAACTCAGCTCCTCTTGCCTCCAGAGAGTCCAGGACTCCATCCACTATGCTACCTAGCTGACTCTAAGTAGCAGAGCCAACATGAATAGCAGACCCAAAGTTTTGAACTTCTGAATCCAGATCTAATGCTTTTTCTCCCTTAGCAGTCCTCCTATGCATCAGGTAGAAGCCAATGAGTGAAGAGGGGATGCCTGTGAGGCTTCATGGGGGCCCCTGCCCTAGGAGTTAAGGGAGCTATCTAGAAACCTATAGCATAGCATGAGAGTGGCCTGTTAGGATTCTTCAAAAACGTATGATGCAAACTTGGTTGTATTGGGGGTTTCCCAGGCCCAGACTGGGTGACCTTAGGGGGACTCACCAGGCAAAGATGAGATGTAATGAGTGGTCTCCTCAGGCACAGAGGGTATGATTCTGATTGGATTGGGTGAGGTTCTTCCAAACTTGGAAGGAACCATGTTAATGTGACCCTAAAAGAGAGAGAGTAGGGAATGGGTTAGATAGCAGTAGGAAAGAAAAAAAAGGATGGAAATCAAAACCCTTTTTGGAGGCAAAAAGGAAAATTTTCCCATGTACCTTCCAAAGTTTATAATCAATGTTACCATATCCATCAGAGGAGGAAGATTCAGCAATAACTATCTGATGGTCTCAGTCACAGGCCAAAAGAATGATCAGTTAAGATACTGTCAAAGAAAAAAAGTTTTCATAATATACCCTGCATCTTAGACACAAGTCTACCAGACACCATTTTTATTAATTTGATATTATTCTAAATCCAAGAATTTCTAGCCTAGAGAGAAATGGCCAAACTGGTATAATCCCTCCCATGCCTTTGGACAGCTCTCTACCCCAAGATTATTTAAGGTAATAACATGTATATGGCTCTTGGACAAGGAAAATGTCATAATGTGCCAAAATACAGTTTGAGGTTAACATTATATTTCTACAAATAGAACAATATTCAATTCCTTCCCATTCCCCATGAAAGATTGAAAGGATGTCTTTCTCTGCAGATCAATATCTTAATCTCTTCTGAGTAAGAAAGAGGGTACTTCCCTCTGTGGGCCACTAGATGATTCAGTGGATAGAGTGTGGATCCTGCAGGCAGGAAGGCTTGAGTTCAGACAGGGTCTCAGATACTTACTAGCTGCAGGATCCTGGGCAAGTCACTTAACCCTGTTTGCCTCGGTCTTCTCATCTGTAAAATGAGCTGGAGAAGGAAATGGCAATCCATTCTATTATCTCTGCCAAGAAAACTTCAGATGGGGCCAGGAAGAGTCAGATATGACTGAACAACAAAATAAAAGTGTTAGACAACATAGCCTCTGAGGTATCTCCCATAAGTGCTTTGCCCAAGGTCCTGCAGAATAATTTTCACAAGTGGGACTTCAGCCCAGGTCTTCTGAATCCAGAGCTAATATATTTTGCCGCATTGACTTTTTTTTTTAAACTGTTTTTCTTTGTTATAAGGGAAGGCTCACTGGGTGTGGGGGTGTTATAGATGGGCTACCAGGAAATGACTAGGATGTAAAAATAACATGGAAAAAAAACTTTTAAAAAATAAATACATTTTTAAAAGAAACAGTGCTATAGTAAATAGTTACACCCTTGACCTAGGGCCTAGTGCCCAGATTTTTCTGGAAATTATCATAAATGCCATATTTAATCAGCTACAAATGCTATATCTATGCATTATACAGTATAGAACTTTCTAAAGTGTATACAAATCAGTTATAAAAGGCAACACAGTAACCAACTGTGGAAAACTATATATAATATGATGCAGAATCTGAGCCTCCAAAGTGGATTTGGAATTAATTTTTTTTCAATTATGAAGCATTGATTTTTTTTCTCCCTCTTACCTCCTCTGTATCTCTCCCCGAAAAAAAAGGAAAAAGAAAGCTCTTTTAACAAACATAGTTAAGCAAAGCAAATCCCCACGTTGGCCATGTCCAAAAATGTATCTCCTGCAGACTTAGTCCATCACCTCTCTGTCAGGAGGTGTATAAAATTTATTATCAGTGTAGACGTAAAGTAAGGAGAGACCTGAGTTCCAGTACTGTCTGATTCTTATTAGTTAGTTGTGTGAACATGGACCAGTCACCTAACCTTTCTAAAGCTTCCTCATCTGTAATAATTGCACCTGCCATTTATGGGGCTGCTTTGAGCATCAAATGAGATCATGTATGTATATAGTCCTTGTTATAACTTTGAAGCTTTATATAAATGTGAGCTTTAAAAAAAAGCTTCTTAAAATACCTTGGGTGGAGAGAGTGACACACACAGACAGACAGACAGACACTGGGTAACTAGAAGTTGAATAAGGCCTTTGTTCTGTCTTTGAAGACATCTTCTTATAGAGGATTCAGAGAGTCCCATGAATACCACAATGAGATGATCTATGATGTTTTGAGGGGTACTTGTTGACCCATTTATACTTCACTGAAGATGACTGGATCAGGATTATTGTAGATCTGAGCTTCATCCTTAGACCAAGGCCCATAAAAGGGACAGATCTGGCACAGAGTTCACAGGCCTAGGAAGTGAGCCTGAAAAAAAGAGAAAGGTACTATTTCAGAAAGCAACCAAGTTCCTGAAAGGTAGAGCCTGCTGCATTAACACAGGCCCCCAGGGAACTCCTTGCCCCCAAAGATAGTAGTGGTAGACTCCTTCTATCTCAGAGATGAAGTTAGGAAAAGGCAATCACATAGAAGCTAAGTTAATCCTGCCTTGGGGGACTTTTTGGTCCTGGGAGAGGAGGGTATCACCAAGCCCCAGAGATAGTAGCAATGGAGTAGTGAAAATTCCTGAATCTGGACTCCCAGGAAGAAGTCTTACTTGAAAATCTGGACCTGGACTTCAAGAGAGAAGTTCTCCCAGAATTCCTGATCCTAGCTTTCTAGTGAGAAGAGGAAGCAAGGACAGGCCTTACAGCTGGAGAAATAGAATGGAAGTGAGTCACTATGGAAGTGAGGAAGTAAGGAAGCAAATCCAGACATCATCCTCCACTGAGTTCTATGGATTATCCAGGTCCAGTGGGAAACTCAAATGCAAAATTCCATTGGAGGGAGCCCTAAAACTTAGGGTGGTAGTATAAGTTTGAAGGACTATACATGCCCCTAGGTTAGCATAGGACTAAGCAGACATCTCTTTAAGGTGCACCTCCTTTCTAGGGAAGTCTCAAACATAGAGTGGTACTATGAGTTAAAAGGACTAGAAAAGTCCCTGGGGAGGAATTGCTTGGATTATTTGTGGGCTCCAGAAAATCCTTTGTTTGTTTTATATTTTGTCTGAAAGGTAGGGGTAAAATAAAGGCTGTTCTTTATTCAAGACCATGCAAGTACCTACATAGGAGCTGGGTACCCTTTCTACCCATCTCTGTAGAGACCTAGAAACAAGCTATATGTTCTCAGGGGAAACCCTAGGCAGGACAAAACAAGCCAAATTCTTAGGTTCCCAGATAAAGCTAGAAGCATGAGGTAGCTAGGACTTTATAATCACATGCCAGTCTCCAGGGGACTCACTTTTTTCCCCCAGAAGAACATTGGTTGGACATGTAGCCTTCTCTTACCTAGTCCCTAGGCTAGCACTGGGCAGGGTCTTGTGGCCATCATGTTCTAACACTGGAGCCTGCCATCCCATGAGGACAGACTATATCCAGTACAAGGCCTGGTGTAGGGACATATAGCACATAGGCTGGACAGGATTTGTAGGGGAGTCAGCAGGCACCACACTTGTCACTCCCTGTAAAGCTCTAGCCCTAATCTTAGACTTTGCTTTAGCCTTCTACCAGCTCCTCTCTTCTATCTTCCTTTTTTACTGTGCCCTCTGGAATCCTCTGTCTATGTCAGATCTCATCCTCCTGAAGACATCAATCTCTTGATACTTTCTTCAAGGTAGCTGTTCTTCTTATAGTCCCTGACCCTCAGGGCCAAGAGTTGGAGTTGGCATATTCCTTCATCTTCATTTACCACGTTCAGGCTCTCTCTACCACTGTCACTTCAGCACCCACCTCACCTTTACAATTCATTCTCTCCTTCTAGATCCTTGTTATTGTCATCTGTGGATCTCTAGCTCCTTTTTCTTCTTCAGTAAGTTCAAGACCTGGTTCATAGGGCAGCTAGGTTGCACAGTGGATAGAGAGACAGGCCTGGAGTCAGGAAGGACCTGAGTTC